CCTCCCCTCAGTCTGTCCCTTTTCCTCCTTCTGGGGTCATCTCAAGTCCTTCCTCCCCACAAACCCTTCAAAACCTGCTCTTTCCTCAGTGGGGACCTGTCACCTGCACCAACACATTTTTGTGGGACTGTGTGTGGTGATTTTTATTAGCTTTTGGAGGCACAGTTTCCAACCATACATGCCACCAGTTTGAAGTGCATGATTCAAGGGGTTTTGCCAACAGTCACCATCCCAATAAGGAGCACCTCCACCCCCACAGGAAGGTCCTCCAGCCCCATTCCCGCCCCTGTCATCCTCCCATCCTCCACCCGCAGTAATGACCTGGTTTCTGCCACCATTGTTTTGACTTTTCTAGAATTTCATATAAATGGAACACTGCAGGACCTGGTCTTATATGTTTGAATTCTTTACCCAGAAAAACGCTCCTGAGATTCAGGCACGTGGAGCAGGTGCAGGCAGCCCCCTTCGCCGGCACACCGCGCTCCAGCCTAGGGACGCAGTGCAGTTTGCCTATCTGTTCACCTGCTGGTGGACACTGGGGTTCTTCCTAGTTTGGGGCTGTTAAGAAAAAACTTCTGGGTACGAGTCTTTCATTTTCATTCTCTTGGGTGAACATGCAGGGGTCAGCTGTGGTTCACGCGGTAAGTATGTGTTTTTAACTCATAAGGGACGGTGCACTGTTCTCTCAGCGTGCCGTCTCTGAGTCTGCCTTCCCACCGCCGCAAACGGCGACAAGGCCAGTGGCTCCACGTCATCTCCCACACTCTTGTCCGCCTTTGTGATTTTAGCCAGTCTGGTGAGCATGAAATGATTTCTTATTGCTGGTTTCATTTGCATTTTCCCAATAATTAATGACATTTGGTGTCTTTTCTGAGGCTTATTTGTCATCTGTGTATTTCCTTTGGTGAATCGACTTAAACATCTTTGCTTGCTTCTTAGTGAGTTGTTTGTCTTCTTGACGTTGAATTGTAAGAGTTCTTTGAATATTCTGGATACAATCCATGATCAGATACAAATTTACATTCTTTTTCCTACTCAGTGGTCTTTTTCATTTTTGCAGTATCTTCATTTCAGAAGAGCAGAAGTTTTAAAATCTGATCAATGACAATTTATCAATGTTATCATGGTTCATGCCTTGCGCAGTTTATATAAGAAATCTCTCTTTCCCAAGGGCACAAAGATTTTTTCCCTGTGTTTTCTTCTAGACGTTTTATGCTTTAGCTTTCACATACGGTCTATGACCTATGTGGAGTTATTCATTGACTGTTGTATGAGTTAAGGGGTAAGGATCAACCTTTTATACACGAGTGTCCAGTACTCTGGAACCGTTTACTGAAAAGATTCCCTTTTCCCACTGAATTACGTTGGCACTTCAGTCAAAATTGGTCTCCATTCTGTTCCATGATTTATGCCTCGACCCTCTTGCTAATACCACACTGTCATAGTTACTGTAGCTTCGCAGTAAGTCCTGAAGTCAGATGTTGTGAGTCCTGCAATCTTGTCCTCTTCTTCAAAGTTGTTTTTGACTATTCTAAATCCCTTGAATTTCTTTAAAAAAAGAAATTAGATTTACTGTGTCATTTTCTCCAAAAACCCTTGCTGCAGTTTTGGTTTGGCTCATGCTGTGTCTGTAGCTCAGTCTGGAGAGAAGTGACATTTTGACCACACTGATGGTTAACCCTGAGCGTAGTGTGTCTCTCCATTAACGCAGATCACTTCATCCTCTCAGCATGTTTCATAGTTTTCAGCATATGTCCACCTTTTGGTGGATGCAGGCGTGTAAGTATTTCATTTCATGTTTTCTGATGCTATTGTAATTTTCTCTCAGTTTCAATTTCCAAACGTTGCTGGGCTGCAGCCCCGCAGCTGAGTCATGTGTGCCAGCGAGTGTCCGAGCTGGTGTTCATCCCAGTCAGTGTGTTCTCCACGTTCCATATTGTGCGTTTCATCTCTAGAGTTGTTCTTTAGGCCTTTTTATCTTTTTCCTCACCCTCCTCGCCGTGCTGCGCCTTCCTCTACCTTCCTGGACGTAAGAAGTGTATTTATAGTAGCTGCTGGAGCGTCTTCTTCTGCTAATTCTCTCATCTTTGATCATTCTTCGTTCCTTGTGTAGATTCTGGGCCACACTTTCTTGTCTCTTTACATGTCTGTGCCTTGATTAGTCCGAGCTACTACTTCAGGTTACCGCAGACTGAGTGGCCTGAAGTGCGCGCCTCTGTTTCTCACAGCTCTACGGGTTGGGAAGCCCGCGACCAAGGCCCCAGCAGGCCCTGGCCTGACGAGGGCCCCCTCCTGGTTCGCCTCCCTCCGCTGTGTCCTCATGGGCGGGGCCTAGAGGGAGGGGAGGCTGCTCGCCCCCAGCCTCTCCTCCTGAGGGCGCCGGTCCGTCCTGAGGCGGGAGCCACCGCCCCGGCCCTCGTGCTGGGGGCAGGCCTCGGCCACGGGTTTCCGGGAGACGTAGACATTTAATACGTGGTGATCTAGAGGTCTGTGTGTGGACGCCTGACGTTATGAACTTCACGCTGTTGAAGGCTGACTTTGGTTGTATGTCTGTAGATGATCTGGGGCTTTGCTCTGGACCGTCGTTGGCTGGCCGGAGGCAGAGGGCCCGCTGCAGACTTGCTCGCGCTTTGCCACGCGGCCCCGCGCAGCGCTCAGCGGGGCTAGTTTGGCCCCGTCACTCCCGGGCGGCCCCTCCTGAGGGAGCGGCTGCCCTGGGGCCGGGACGGTCGTGGCTGCTGCCCTGTCTGTGCAGGAGCTCCTTCGGGCCTGCGAGGGCTCCGAGGCCCTGGCCCCTCCCTCCCCTCGGCGCTCCCTTCCCCAGCCTTGCGCTGCTGCCTCTCAAGGGCACCTCTCTGCAGCTGTCGTCTCTGCCGGTAGCGTCCCGCTCTCTCGTATCTCGCAACCCACAGCCGTCCGGCCTCGCAGTCGCCTCAGCTCAGCAAGAGGGCCGTTCTCTGGGCCGCCTTCCTGCTCTGCATTTGGGAATCGCCTCCAGTGAGAGCTGGGGTCTCTGCGCAGGGCCATAAGCCCCGATGCCCACCGCCAGTGTGAAACCTGTTACCTGGCGTACTCACGGGCTTTGCTGGCTGCTGACTGGGCTAGGATGCGTTGGGCGCGGCCAGTCCACCGCGGCTGGGAGCGCAAGCCTCAGGTCACGTCTTGACTGACGCGTTTAATCAGATCCTCGGATTGCTCCGTTTCTATCCTGGAAGGCTTCCGCCACACGGAGGCTCTGTGCTGTGCTGCTTCTGTGTGCTCTAGAGTGCTCGGTTGGAATCCCAGCCCTGCAGGCAGTTACAAAAGCGCAGCGGGGAGCCAGGCTCCCCTCCAGTCCTGGGTGCAGAGCAGCGCTGAGCAGCGGCGAAGACAGTCCCCAGGCGTCGGGGAAGAAGTGGATCGAGACCACCCGTCCTGGGACTGCGTGACAACAGCGGGGGAGTCAAGCGGTGCAAGAAGTACGTTCAGAGACCCCTTCGGGGCGAGCTTTGTGTGGTGCCGGATCCTCCCCAGCTGTGGGGTATCCATGTTGAGCCGGCGGTGAGGACGGCCTGGGCACAGCTTGCTGGTTCCTGGGCATGTTTCGCCTTCTCTGTGCGTCTGGGGCCCTCGTTTCTGCTGTTCCTCCCTTGCCCTGGTCTTGCTTGGCCACAAGGCAAGGGGGTAGGTGGAAGGAAGAAGTGATGTGCATTTTACATGAGGACCAGAATTCTGGGCCAGGGGTTTTGTCGGGGTGGAGGCTGGAAAATAGAGCGCAATGATGACCACCACCAAACGAGGAGGGAGGCGTGGGTGTGAGAAAAGCCAGGATGCCTTCCTTCCTTCCTGTCAGTTTGTTTCAAGCAATAGATTTCAGAGCCCTTCCTGCTGAGACCCCAGCTCCATCCTTTAACTCATCTTCTGGTGAATTTCTTGAGCCTGGACCCCTGCGTCATCCACTCTTGGCGTTCTCAGTGCATCACCTGCTCCACGAAGGTTGTTTGGTGACAGTTAAGCTGACCCAGCCGAGTTGGTCACACCATTTCACAAACACGCATGTTCCGTCTTCCTTTCCAGCCAGAGTGGTCACCTGCAGGTCAGTATGTCTGCCATCCCTCTGCCTGGTCTCCAAGGACCCCGCGAGAGCCTGTCCACAGAGCCTTCCCTGACCGTGCCAGCCCTCCCCTTCCTTCTCGAACTCTGGTTTCTGAGGGTGATGATGTGTTTGTCCTGGCAGATTAGTGGTTGTTGGCTGCAGTGCACACTGGACACACCTGTGGCTCCTAAGGAGGATTCTGTATATGTATATATGTATCTCCAAAAGATATGCGTTTTATAAAACATTTATTATACATAATATTTTCAGGCTAGGACTATAAATTACAGGTACCCTAGACAACACCTGCATGCTATAAGTTTTGTTTGATGGCATCTTGTTGAATGTAACTAAACTGAATTTTGCAAGAAGATTTTTGTGCAGGCCAAATCTGTGGTCTTGCTAATGTCACCCTTCTTTACCTGCAGGCCAGGGAGCAGTAAATCGTGGCTGTGGACCCCACATCTGCTCAGCCCGCTCCCTTGCGCAGCTGTCTGGTGGCTTTTGAGTGATGCTGGCAGATCTGAGTGCTTGTGACAGAGACTATGAGCCCTGCAGATCCTAAAACATTTACTGTCTGGCCTTTCACAGAGAGAGGCCGCCGACACCTGCTCTACATGAGCATTTACGTAGGACAGCGTGCTGTGCGCTCCGTGTGGGAGTGGGACGGCTCCCCGAGACCCGTGGCTGCGCTGTGTTCTGCTTCTTTCCTCCTTAGCCTCTTCTCTCTCTCTCTCTCTGCCGTGAGCCAGAGGGGTGAACGTTCACAAACCTTCCATGCCAAGCCCCTCCTCTCTGCGCAGACCGAGCCCCACAATGAAAGCTGTGAGCATCTTGTTAAATTTGGGCTGGGAGTATAATTCTGGTCAGTTATGGCTACTTGAAAACAATGCTGCAGCTAACTGTGTCTTTGTTCACCTTCCAGGAACCAATGAATTCCACCAGCATCTACGATTCAAACGAGGATTATTTTGGGTTGGTGAATAGTTCAGACTATACACTGGATGATGATAGCTTTCTCTGCTCCTTGCAGGAGGTCAGAAAGTTCTCTGGGCTGTTTGTGCCACTCGCTTACTCCTTGATATGTGTCTTTGGCCTCCTGGGCAATATTTTGGTGGTGGTCACCTTTGCTTTTTATAAGAAAGCCAAGTCCATGACGGACGTTTATCTCCTGAACATGGCCATCGCGGACATACTGTTTGTCCTTACTCTCCCGTTCTGGGCGGTCAACCATGCTACTGGCGAGTGGGTCTTCAGCAACGCCATGTGCAAACTGACTCGGGGCATCTACGCCATCAACTTCAACTGCGGGATGCTCCTCCTGACCTGCATCAGCCTGGACCGCTACATCGCCATCGTGCAGGCCACCAGGTCTTTCAGGCTCCGGTCCAGAGCGTTAGCCCACCACAAAGTGATCTGCCTCGTCGTGTGGGCAGTGTCTGTCCTCATCTCCAGCCCGACGTTCACGTTCACCCAGAAGTACAGGCTGCAGGGCGGCGAGGTGTGCGAGCCCAGGTACCACGCCGTCTCGGAGCCCGTCAGGTGGAAGCTGCTGGTGCTGGGCCTTCAGCTCCTCTTCGGCTTCTTCATCCCCCTGGTGTTCATGGTGTTTTGCTACATGTTTATTGTCAAGACCTTGGTTCAGGCTCAGAATTCCAAACGGCACAAAGCCATCCGCGTGATCGTCGCGGTGGTCCTGGTGTTCCTGGCTTGCCAGATCCCGCACAACATGGTGCTTCTGGTGACTGCCGTCAACCTGGGGAGGACGGGCCGCTCCTGCAGCAGCGAGAAGGTGATGGGCTACGTCAAGAACGTCACCGAAGTCCTGGCGTTCCTGCACTGCTGCCTCAACCCCGTGCTCTACGCCTTCATCGGCCAGAAGTTCAGAAGCTACTTCCTGAAGATCATGAAGGACCTGTGGTGCGTGCGGAGAAAGCACAAGTCGCTGGGCTTCTCGTGTTCCCGGCTGCACTCGGAAACCTTCACCTCGCGGCAGAACAGCGAGACCGTGGACAAC